CTAAGATATCAAATAATGTCTCTTATTGAGTGTACACTCAAAAAAAAGAAATTATTAACAAAGAAGTTATTTCTCTAATTCATTATTGTAAAGAAAACCTTAAATACTTAAAAATGATTCTGAATTATAACAAATTATCTATTCCTTTTAATGTTTGTGTATTACTTGACATGCTGAAATGTATAATAAATCAATTTATTGTATTTTTTTCCCTATGCTTTTTATAAGCATAGGAAAAAAATACAATAAACTGTTTTATAAGCATAGGAAGCATAGGAAAAAAAATACAATAAACTGTTTCTGAATTGTATTTTATTGTACCTAATTTTGGTTCTAATAATACAATCCTCTTGTGGTCAAGTGATGCCTCTTTTCAACCCTAAAAAAAATTTGAAAATAACATTCAGAGAAGGTTGTGGAGGTTGTGTTAATTGGTTAAATTACATGGGTCAAAAATTGTTGAGTAAATTAGGCTGCGTGATGAAATTAACAATTTCCTCTCACATTAAATTTCAGTATTCAACAAACATAGAATAAGGACAACATGAGAAACAACAGTTTTTGCACAACAATAAATAAATATATATATATAAACAAGAGATACAAACAAGTGGAGTAAAGAAGTGGTTTTAAAAAAGTTTAAACTTCCTTTTATGTTTATATTGAAATGTTGTCAAAGTTCTGGTTTGATAGATTATAATTTGTTGAATGGTCTGTACAAGGTCAGCATATCACTGAGCTCCACAACAGTTACATTAATGCTGTACTCAGTGAGAATTATTTTCACTACACTTTCGAATTGCTACTGGGTGGGGGGAGATTTGTCGATTGTTGTCTCAGTACTGTTTATATTTATAAAGTTTTTATTTTTTTTATATTTCATATTCCAATTCCATTTTTTTTTTTAATTATGAATAAAACTATTAGCTTTCCTTGTGTTATTTTATAATAGATTTAATGTAGTTTTTTGCGCAAGTTTAGTGTTATATTTAAATAATTTGCTTACTTATATTGTTTCTTCGTGTTAGGATACGTGGATTCATACTTTTTGTATCTGTTCAACGATTTTAATTTGAGTCGAGAATCATAGCACATTTAAAAAAAAAAATTACTTGTCAAGGGAAACAACTTGAAAGATTTTTTCAGGGTTATTTCCCTTTCATGTAAACTAGTTAAACTATCCTTACTTACCTCCCTTTATTGTTGTGTAATTTACGACCATATTACGTTGAAACCATATTCTCATTCGAATTACTGTAAATAATTATAAATGAGGTCAGATAAAAAAATCCATTCAGAACACACACACACACACACACACACACACACACACACACACACTCTTTTCTTCCTTATCGGGAGCACAATGCAGTCATCAGGTGCAGATTGAAAACTGACTATTGCATATTTTAAATATGACTATTAAATGTAGCTGTCTCTTCTACTCCAATAGCTTCATATCTCGCACCTCTCGCCTGTGGAACTCCCTTCCCTTTTCCTGTTTCCCTGATAGCTATAATCTCCAGCTATTCAAATGTAATATCAAGAGACATCTCCAGTTGCCTTGATTTATCCACTGTCCTTCTCTTCATCCTTTCCTCTATAACTCCTATCTGCTTTCGCTCCAAATCCTATGTAACCCCTTGCGTGCTAGTGGCTTCCAGCCTTGCTTGGGGTGAAATGCTTAAAAAAAAAAAAAAAGAAGATATTTATACTGTACAGTAATGATAGTGGTGCTCATTCATATACATATACATATACATATATATATATATATATATATATATATATATATAAGTCTGATAAAAATGTATTGGGACTGTTATGGAAATGGAGCTAAAGTATGCAGAATGATATTATATATATATATATATATATATAAAAAAGATATTTATACTGTACTGTAATGATAGTGGTGTTCATTCATATTCATATATATATATATATATATATATATATATATATATATATAAAGAAAGTCAGATAAAAATGTATTGGGACTGTTATGGTAATGGAGCTAAAGTATGCAAAATGAAGTCGCTAGAATTCTGTCGTGTATACACACTAAGTTATAATATTCTTACTCATATCCATTGTTTATAGCCGTGCTTGGAAGGAAAGTGTGTAGAGTGTGGTCATTTCACCATACCACAGAGGTTCCATCAGTGACCCCAGCTTGTATATGTTTTGGCCAAGGACGACATTCCCCATGTCTGACACCCACCATATTCCCCAGATCTCACCCCCTGTGACTTTTTCTTCAAAAATTAAATCCCACTTGAAAGGAATGAGATTCCAAAACATCAAAGCAGTCCAAGAGAATGCAACAAAGCAGCTGCTATGTATCCCAAAAAAGGAGTTCTGAGAATATTTCTATCAATGGAAATGATGCTGGATGAAATGTGGAGGGAGAAGAGCTGTATGCATGCCTTTCCTGGGAGCAAAAGTGAAGATAAGATGAGGGTGGGATTTGAACTTAGCTCTCTGATTTCACATTCTATAACAATAACTATTGCACTAGTGCATCTTTTATGTGCCATCTTTCATGAGGACATGTCTCTCCACAACTTCCTATCCCTTGTGTCCCACAGCAGTATTTCTGCTTTTGCCAAGATTCCCAACCCACTTTCCACCATCCATTCACACAAGCTTGTCAGGTAGGCGGCTTGCTGCCTTCCCTATATTTCTCTTGCCCTTCCCCCATGCACTGTGAGGGTTACATTCCTTCTTAATCATGTGACCATGAAATTTCAATTGCCTCTCTCTGATTCTGTGTTGTTTTGGTACAATTTCAAGACTTCATTGCTTACTCAGACCTCCCATTGAATTCTCAGTATCCTTCTGTCGGACCTACACTTTCCGACATTCAATGACATACAAGAGGATAGATATTATATAGCAATTAGAGGAAATTTTCGAATTAGCTATCTCTCTTGAATCCCTCCACCCAATTCAGTGTTAATGCAGACCCCACACAATTATTGTTCAGCTGCAAATCACATAAATTTTGTTTTTCATTAACTCATTTTTGGGGTAACTTATTTCAGTACCCCGATTACAACCTTTCGTAGATCTGCTGCATTTCTTTTCAGTTTCAGATATAATATTTAAACATATTCTATTTATGTCTTATGTAAATTGAGGAAATAACTTTTGATGCTAAATGACCCATATAGCTTTCTCTGTGCCAAAACCTTTTCCCTCCCTCTCTTTCTTGCATAGATATGCAGGTGTTGTAACAGTGGCTTGGAACAAGAAATTTGTAAAGCTGAGTTTGAATTCTGGTCAAGTTCATTAGATTCACTTTTGCACAAATACCCTTGGGAAAAGTATGATTCCATCTCTTCTCTCCCCCCCACCTATGGGTAAAATAGCAGGGCAGATTGGGCTCTTTAGCTTTGATTGGCAACCATTTTAGGAGATGGACAACTCTGAATTTGAAACCTGAGAAGATATGTTTGAAGAAATTGTGGCACATGCTGCACAATTTCCTTCCAAAAAGTATTTTGGTTCTATACAAGCCTTCACCCTTCTAATTAAATCATGTGTGGATCATCCTGGGTAAGACAATAAACTACTTTCAACAGCAAGGCCTCTGATCAGGAGGTTTTGAGGAGCGTGCAACCACCTCTTAATTGCTGGTGTTTCCAGGTCCACCCTGACCTGGGGTGGTAGCACCTGTTAGGGTCCCAGCTATTGGTAAATAGTTAACACCCAGACTACATCCATGTCCTGGGTAAGACGATAAACTACGTCCAACAGCAAGGCCTCTTATAATACATTTTTGAAGAAATAATGTTTGACAGCTGTATGTTTTTGAAGAAATGATGTTGGCAGCTATATGTTTTTGTTATATAGCTGTACCAAACTTACAGCAACCGCCGTCTGTCTAACTCTCTGCATTGGCGGGGAGGAACCTGGACAAAGCTTTGCCCAAGGGCAAGGTTTCGTTCGGGAGGTTATGACAGCTCTCAACTTTTAGGTGAGTCGATAAAATATTTTGGCCGGGCCTACGGGCTCGGGTGACCACGTAAAACTCGGCCTTTTGCCACATGCGACCCCTTGTGGGGGGACAGCTAAATAGAGCTATATGTTTTTGGAAAAATAATATTACCAGCTATACAGTTTTGAGAAAAAATATATCAACAGAAATAGATTTTTGACAAAACAAAAATATTATCAAGGGAAAAAAAAAATTATCAGCATTAAATGACCCATTGAGGTTGATATGCCATAAAACAAACCAAACCAAACCAAACTGTGTGTGGATGGTATGGTAGTTCAGTTCTAGAAATTGAATTGTTAGGCCCTCATATATCTGACAATAATCTTGACATACACCCTGGTGCAAATTAATTGAAACAAAATGAATAATTCCATTATTGTTTACTTTTTTGTATTTTTGCAGTGAAACATGACCCATTGCACATGTTAATACTTTGTATGTCCATTCCGCGAAGTCATTCCTTGCAGATTGACCACAGATTCTCGATTGGATTTAAATCAAGAGAATTTCCAGGCCAGTCAATAGTACTTTGATTTGCTGACTGGTAAGACTTGCCAGTGTAGGCATGCAGCTTTACAATTTTCATACACTTCCTTGGAGTAGCGTCCATCGTGGACAATGGCCATAGGACAACTAATTGACAGTCGAGACAGTAGTGTCTGGGCATGATAAAAATCTGATGCAATCTCAGATGACAATATTTTTCAAGGCTAAACAAATTTCATTATACACCCCGAAAATAGATTCATGCACACCACTGTAAATAACCTAATCTGTGGAAAAAATAGAAATTACACTCAGTGGGTCTAAAATTGACTGTATAGTGAAAGAAAGGAAACTAAAGAGGTTGTTTCAATTAATTTGCACAAGGGTGTATTTTATATAGACATTTTACAGAACATCAAAAGAAAAATATTCACTTTGTCTTTTTCATTATAACTGATTGATTTCTATGGTTATTTTCTTTGATTAAATTGTCTTTCCTTCTTTACAGAATCATGCTGATCCTAGTATCCGTAATCTACGAGAGGAATCCCCCTTGGACCTTGCGGCACAGTATGGCCGTGTTGAAACAGTCCAGTTGCTTCTGCGAAGCCGACCTGAACTCATTCATCGTGTTCATCTAGACAAATTCCCATTACACCTTGCTGCCAGAAATGGACACAGACAAGTGGTTGAGCTGCTTTTAGATGCAGGAGTCAATATAAACACTAAGGTAGGTGATAACAATTTGCCCCCTTCTGTTTCTTTTTTTAAGGGCACATAGTGAGGAAAGCAGGCTTGGAAAATTGAATATGCACAGGACATATTGAAAGCAAGGACAAGAAAACTAAAAGGATACACTTCTGTGATGGAAGTCAACCATAATTATCTCCCCTAAACCAGTTATAAAAGATTAAGCTCGATCCTGTTCATAACACTAAATGAATTCCGTAAAAATTGGTATAGTTGTCTACAAGCTTCAAGGAAAGCTTCTACCGTATTTGTTTTTCATTACAACCTTGAATCAGGAAAAGTGAGATGAAATTTCTAGGATACGTAATGAGGAAAGAAGGTTTGGAGAACTCATAGGACATATTGAAGGCAAGAAGGATAGAGGAAAAGAACCTGCTTAATGAGCTTGTGTTAAAAGTTGATAGAGCAGAGATTAGGGGAGATAGCAAAAGGTCAAACTTTACTATTAGCTACAAAGGACAGGAGCCTTGATTGCCTATGTTCTGAAGATCTCATTTTATGATGATTCTATATATATATAATTTACAGGAACCCTTAAGAAAAATTTTGGTCAAAAACAGTAAAATTCTATATAAGTCACATTATTGGAAACATCTTGCTATAAGGAAGGCTCTGTATATTAAACAGCTTTCTCCTATTATCAACCTCACCTTATTTAACAGTGGAAATAGTGTTAAAAGGTTTTTGAAAATAGAAAGGCACTTACTGAATTCCAACCGCGTTCAACACGTGAAGGCTTATTTATTTTAAAGAAACGGGAAGTGACTTACAAACCCAATTTCATCTTTTTCATCCTTTTTGTCTACACTGCAAAAATGATAGAATATAAAGAGCCAAAAACAAATCTCATATCATGAACATATCGACAATTCCTGTGGTCTGATATGTCTGCATTATTAATAATAATTGACAATGCTTCATCTAAGAAGGCTAACCAGTAGGAGTCATTTAAATTTAGCCATATAGCTATATTCTCTACTTCTACTTTTTATGGATGGGAGTTGCAATAAAAAGCAAGAGAAATGAAGATGAAAGAAATACTAGTGAAAAATGAATAATAATTGACAATGCTTCATCTAAGAAGGCTAACCAGCAGGAGTCATTCAAATTTAGCCATATAGCTATATTCTCTACTTCTACTTTTTATGGATGGGAGTTGCAATAAAAAGCAAGAGAAATGAAGATGAAAGAAATACTAGTGAAAAATGAATAATAATTGACAATGCTTCATCTAAGAAGGCTAACCAGCAGGAGTCATTGAAATTTAGCCATATAGCTATATTCTCTACTTCTACTTCTTATGGATGGGAGTTGCAATAAAAAGTAAAAGAAATGAAGATGAAAGAAATACTAGTGAAAAATGAATAATAATTGACAATGCTTCATCTAAGAAAGCTAACCAGCAGGAGTCATTCTAATTTAGCCATATAGCTATATTCTCTACTTCTTCTTCTTATGGATGGGAATTGCGATAAAAAACAAGAGAAATGAAGATGAAAGAAATACTAGTCAAAAATAAATTATAATTCATAATGTTTCATTTCTGAAATTTTGTGTGTGTGTGCTTGTTTTTCTTTTATACTTTGTTTATGTAACATTTTTTGATATTTTAAAAAAATATATATTTAAATAAAATGTATACATTGTTATAAAAAAGCATCCTTTTTTCTATCAACCACTTCTTCTTATAACTTTGATGCTAAATGACCCAAATAGCTTTCCCTGTGCTAAACCCTTTTTACCTGCTTAACCTTACACATTTGCTTTTGCATAACCACACTAAATTTCTTTGCTACTGCTGACAACAATCTTAGCTTTCACAGCTAATCACTTTCTTTTTTGCTCAGGAACATGTGTTATGGCTATGCTTTCTGTGGAAAAAGAACAGTCTTGTTTGCAGTGAAAATTGTTTGCTTATATAATGTCATCATCATGCTTCTTTCTTTTATTTCTTTCATTTATCTGTTTATTTTTTAATACCATGAGGAGTCAGGTGATATAAAATTGTCAAAATATCAAAGACAGAAATTATTTTCAAAGAGTTTTGCTGATTAGGTCCCGTTTTGATTGTCTAAATCCATTCTACGCAGCAACAAAAAAAAAGTTTTAGCTCTGTATGCCTTATTAAACGCCTAGGCTGAAATATCCAAGGGAGATAATTTCGAATTTTAATCATATGTATTGTATTGTTGAATAAAAAGAGACAAGAGAAAAAACTATTCGTAGCCGATGCATTTCGTCCTCAGAAAGTAATGTAGGATTTATTTTATTGCCTATGTTAATATACAAAATGTTTTGACTGACCTTCAACCACCTGATGAATATTCATGAGCGTTCTCAAATTTAAAAGACTTGATAAACCAATGAAATTCCTCACTTTTTTGTGTATAAAAACGTGTAACAAAAATTCTGCATTGCCTTGATAAAGTCCCTCAGAGGACGAAATTTGTTGGCTAAGAATAGTTTTTTTTCTTATCTCTTTTTATTCATTTTCTTACTTTACAAATACACTCTATCAGAAAATAATTTAATCGTGCATTATTTAATTTCTTATATAAAGTATTATCAGTGATACTATAGCGTGAGGTCTAACATGGATATTTACATCTGTCTCACATTTTCTAAACATAGGACCTAATGATCTAAATGACCTACTCATCTAAATGCCATGGGTTACCAACATTCAACAGCGAATCACCAGCAACATTATGTGGATCCAATGACAAGAGCATACACTCAGGCAAAATGAGCAATCGTGGTTGGATACTAAAATGTTGATTCTCAAGAAAATGCAAGGGGTTGATAGTTAACTGTTCCAGTCACATATTGATCAATTATGCTGGAAGATGATGAGAAAAAATTCCAATGATCTATTTGCAACGACAATCGTTATTATTTTCAATCTCATCTGAGTACTTGGGAAAATAAAAACTATTCGAAAGAAAATTTTGATATTTTTATATTGATGAGAAAAAATTCCAATGATCTATTTGAGTCATTTCTAGAAGATATATGAAGTGTTTATCGCTAAAATGAATGTATTGTATTTGATAGCGTGTTTATTTTAACCTCTCTGCCTTTAATGTAAATATAAATAGTATATAGATATATAAATGATAATATAAGGTTTAAATAAATATGTCTACACATACAATATTATAGTTCAATGCTGCGGCAGACCTCACGCTATAGACGAAACAGGAGGCAGACCTCACGCTATAGACGAAACAGGAGGCAGACCTCACGCTATAGACGAAACAGGAGGCAGACCTCACGCTATAGACGAAACAGGAGGCAGACCTCACGCTATAGACGAAAACAGGAGGCAGACCTCACGCTATAGACGAAACAGGAGGCAGACCTCGCGCTATAGACGAAACAGGAGGCAGACCTCACGCTATAGACGAAACAGGAGGCAGACCTCACGCTATAGACGAAACAGGAGGCAGACCTCACGCAGACCTCAGAGGCAGACCTCACGCTATAGACGAAACAGGAGGCAGACCTCACGCTATAGACGAAACAGGAGGCAGACCTATATAGACGAAACAGGAGGCAGACCTCACGCTATAGACGAAACAGGAGGCAGACCTCACGCTATAGACGAAACAGGAGGCAGACCTCACGCTATAGACGAAACAGGAGGCAGACCTCACATGGTGCTACTATAACATGAGGTCTACCTCAGTGGAATCTTCTAGGAATGACTCTATCCTGTGGAACTATCTTCCAGTTTCTTGCTATTCTGCCAACTGCAGTCATCAAAATTTTAAAATGCAACAACAATTGTCATTATTTTCAATCTCATCTGAGTACTTGGGAAAATAAAAACTATTCAAAAGAAAATTTTGATATTTTTATATTGATGAGAAAAAATTCCAATGATCTATTTGAGTCATTTCTAGAAGATATATGAAGTGTTTATCAGTAAAATAAATGTATTATATTTGATAGCATGTTTATTTTTACCTCTCTGCCTTTAATATAAATAGTATATACATACATAATGTTTAAATAAATATGTATACACATACAATATTATATTATAGTTCGATGCTGCAGTAGACTTCATGCTATAGACGAAACGGGAGGTAGATCTTAATGTTATATTAGCACCATATCATCAATCATAAAGTTTTAACTAATACTACTTTTGTCTTAATTTCAGTTGCTTCTTATTGCAATTTTCAAACTGCCATTATACAGTTATTGAAAAGCATTTTTGATTTGAGAGAGAAAAAAAGAAACTTCCAGTAAGATTTGAGCTTGTATCTATTATCCTCAAGAGCCAGCTGCAATACCCAGCAGGCTACAGAGGACATTAGCTGCAGTCATTCAAACATTTCAAAGAATAGTTTTTCCTTATTTAGTTCAAGTTTCAGTGGAGGATACTTCTTCATTTCTAAACTATGCTGCTTGTGAGTTTTGCAAAGAAGTAATTGAAATTAAGATGAAACATGTACTTGTCAAAAAATTCAATACTAATTATATACATTATCATATTTACACTATTTATATTCAGACTATTGTCCTCATCTTTGTTGTTATCACAATGTTTCAGCTGTTGTGGCCTTCCACAGGTGTATATGGATCTGTAGAGAATTCTGAATTGAACCCTTTATTTAATCTATGGGGTAGACTGTTCTCATTCTTTAGGAATAATGTCTAGATTTTATTTTTATTTAGTACTGTTCAGTTATTGCTTGCCCATTTCCACTGAGTGCAAGCATGCATTGCCCGATCAACTGCATTACTTATCTTATACTTATCAACCAAAAATACTGAGGTTAAATCATTGCATTAAGTTTTCTGTTTTAACTTAACAGTTTCAAGAGAATTTTTTTTTTAAATTGAATAAAGGTTATAATCTATAAACCTAGTTTGTCTAAATAAACTCTTTGAATGATAACTCTTTTTTGAATTATAGAAGGTAGATGTTGAATGGACTGACTGAAAAGTTTTTGTAAGAACAACAGCAAT